TGTCGGCAATACATTTTTTGGAATATCTAGTGCAGTATTTAATAAACTAATAATGTTAGTGAAATAATTAGTGGCAATGAATATTCTTTAATAGAAAAAAAATTGTCTATTTAATAAAATTGTTAGCCTTCATAAATGCTTAGGAATTTCTAATAAACTTTGTTAACCATACAGATCCTTTGATGTGTCTCTTAATGCTGTTTTTACTATTGTTATTTTATTATTAGATTTCAACGGAATCCAACTCTTCAGTTGGTTCAGGGCATGCTTTGATACGGCGGAGTCAGCGTCTCTCCTCAAATATCACCACAATATCAGAAATTGAAATACCATTTGATGAAAAATGGGAGTTCCCGAGAAACAGGTAAAAACCTAGACTGTGAGGAATGTTTGTGTTTGCAGACTTTGTGTCATGTGTTATATTTCTTTGATTTTTATTAAAAAACAGTAATGGAATATATTAAAAACTACTCTGACTTGATATTATGTGAATTTAAATACAAATCATCACGTTCAACAAAAGTTTTCAAATAAAAACTGCTTTCATTCATTCTAGATCAGTTTCCAAAAATTCATCTTTAATACTGAAATAAAAATGAAACAATTGGCCTGACTTTGAATAGATCATTGTTTGTTAAAAATGTTTTTGGTGCCTTGTGTTTATTATTTATTTGTTGTTTAAAGTCTTGTATAAACTATTAAAATTTTATGAGAATTAACTGTTATAGATATGGACTATTTTTTTTATCACTTAAGACTGTCTACCCTAGATTGTCGCATTTGTAATTACTATTGGCAGCTGCTTCTTCAAATATAGCACTTTTACAGATATCCTCTTTTTGTAATTTTCCGCACACGTTTTCTGCGGCATTTATTTTCCTGTTTCCATGGAAATAGTGATGTAAGGCAGGAAATGATTCTTTGATCTGCTGACACGCCTTTTTAGACAGTCTCATTTGTTGTAGTTGAATACTCTACTTGGTTTATGCTATGTGAATACAGAGGTAATTGTAAAATAGAATACTTTGTCATCTGCAATATATTTCCACAAGCTTCACTACAAACTTGAGAATAAATTGGGTACATAAAAAAGCACTGCAAATTTGCGTGATTCTAGAATCTCCTTGGCTACATAGTAAAATTAAGATTACAAAATTGCCATGGTGACAATGATCTCTACATAAGTTGATTCTTTGGAAGGGAAGCCATTTTGGAAATGGCAAAAACAATGGAAATTGAGATTTAATAGGCTAACCATCAAAATTTTATTTGGAGACCCCAATATTTTCCCAGATAACAACCGGAAGAAATATTGTGCTAAATCTCAAAAGGGACAAATCAAAGGCACTTTTATTACATTTTGCATGTAAATATCTCAGCAATGAAGGCTTATACACCTCTTATTTCTTAGGGAAACATATAAACTAAGTCTAACATGGTCCTAAATGGTTTGTTCATTGCAGGCTATGTATCGGTAAAATGCTGGGTGAAGGAGCATTTGGTCAAGTGTTAGAAGCAGAAGCTGTTGGTATCATGAAAGATGGTAGTAAAACTAGTAATACTACAGTCGCTGTCAAAATGTTAAAAAGTGAGTATAATTTAACTGTTTTTAGACCATGGATGGAACTCTAGTCCGATAGCTTAATTATTTATGTACTTTTGATAATAAATACTGATGGCTGAATATTTCCACATTTGTATAATTTGTTTTTGCACACTGGTTCTGATCGGGCAAAGTTCTGTGAATATTTAGGTAGTCATTAATTCATTGCAAAGCTCAGTGCATTGTGGGAGTTTTATGTAAATTATATTCATATTTTATTTCCATTTTCTCCAACATACCGGTCAGTGTATTTACATCAATGCTTTAGACTAAAAGTACTGATCTTATTCACCTCTTCACACATTAATCTGTTCGTTGACTTTTATAAACCTATTAAATCTAAACTATCAGTTTGATTTAAGTTCTAAAAATAAAATGCTGAATAACAACCTGTTATTCGTCTGTGCAGCATAAAAGCAATTAATATTGTGTTAAGTATGTGTGTCCCATGGGCATATACGAAGGACCTTTGATATTCGTCTAGTTATGCCAGCATTGACAGGTGTGAAACGTTATCTCCCAAGTCTCCTTCATCCACCTTGCGTATGACGTATCTCTGTAATCAGTCGCGACGTTCGGTGTCGGAGATCACTGTGTTAATCATACGTGCCTGCAGTTGACAAATTATGGGTAATGTTGACTGTCTTCGACTGAACCAGTGATCGGTGTTCCTCGATGTGAAAATGGTTGAATAGATTTGTGCATCTCATTGACTGATAGGTCCCACCGGACTGTGCAACATGAAATACTCTATATAGATAGGCCTATGGGAATGAATCATGATTCTTTAATAACTTGGTGCTAGATTCACAAGTATATCAGGCTGCTCTTCATAATATGCACTCAACAAACAACATTGTACAATGTCATTTGCTAATACAAATTAATTTATTTTTGTTAAACTATTTGTTTTTTTTCCCACGAAAATTTGGATGCATATTTTTCTAGAATTTTTGGATTAATTTTAAACCAAAATTTGATTGAAAAATTTCATGGAAATTGACAATTGTTGACTTTGGCATTGAAAGAACAAAGGGTTCAAAGGTCAAATAGTTAATATGGGAAGTGTATTTCACATTCATTAACACATGCAGACTATAATATTGAAAAATAGAATGTGGTGCCTGGAGTCATAGCCACTCACTAAAATATATTAACCCTAGGAGACAGTCAATGTTATTGGTCAAATTTGGTCACATGATCATTTGATAAATATTGTTATCATATACCTAGTTTTGCCTGGCTTTGTAACAGTATGGGAAGTGCGCCTTCAGATCAATTATTTACCATATCATGCCCGGTCTCAGCGCGCACAGTTTTCATCAATCAAAACAAAATGTGTCATTCTAAATTATATTGTGTATTTGAGGTCACGCCATGGTAAAATTGTAATTACACACATTATAAGGTATATGATAAAACCTTTAGGAATTGGATACTGCTTTTGCTGCCCTCGGTCAT